CTCCTGGAATCCAGTGACAGAAAGGGAGAACTGATGAGCAAAGGGATTAAGATTGGGCTGGTTTAACCCACAGAAACAGTTGACCTGAACAAGGGGGAGCTCTTGGACCCCAGACTGATGGCTGTGTGGAAAGCATGGGAATGATCCAGACCCCCTGAATGTGGGTGTCAGTGAGGAGACCTAGGTAATCTATGGGGCCTCAGGTAGTAGATCAGTATTTATCCCTGGCATACAAATGAACTTTGGCTGCCCATCCCACAATGAGGGATGCTCTCTTAGCCTGGACTCTTTGGGGAGGACCTAGGCCTTGCCCTGGATGACATGATAGACTCTGGACAGGCGTGGAGGGCCTCACCCTCCCTGAGGATCGAAGTGGAGATTGGGTAGGGGGCTGGGCGTCCTGGGGAGGAGAGGAGGGAGAGGGAGCTGGGATTGACATGTGAAGCAAGCTTGTTTCTAATTTAAATTAAAAAAAGGAAGAAAAAATCTTGAAAAACAAAAAACAAACAAACCAAAAAGAAGTGACCAGAGTTAGTGACTCAGTGCAGCCTGGTAACATCACAGTGTCATCATCTTCAAAGGAGCAGGAGGTGTTAGATATGTCACGGGGCAGCACACCATACAACCTCAGAGAGAGGGAGCTACTTTGAGGGGAGTTCTACCTCAGGCCTTTATGGTTCTACACTTTGTATCATCACAAGTGGTTAAACAATTTAGAAAAGTAATTAGGAAATATAATGACCTGAAGTAAACTTGACCATGGAGCATATTCAAATATTTAAGAATACTTTTAGAAAACCAGGTACGTTAAGCCATCTGCTGGGGGGGTGCAATGGGATGAGGAAGCAGGCTTGAGCCAAAAGCAGAAGCAAAACTAAGCATACAGAGGAGAAAAACAGTAAGTCATCGGTAACATCTACCACTGCTCACATGATTCATAGGAATTACTCATGCAGGATTTTTCACATTTGGATCACAAAGCATATTTAGTGTGTATATTCATGAAAATTAATTAGCCTTTGAATAGCCACCTGGAAAGGGCTCAAAGGACGAAGCTAGGTCTCTAGGATCCCAAGTCACTCTTAAATACTAATGGAGAGCCGTGTTTCTTAACCTTCCTAGTGCTTCGACTCTTTAAGACAGTTCCTCATATTGTGGTGACCCCCCCCCACCATAATTTTATTTTCGTTGCTACTTCATAGCTGTAATTTTGCTACTGTTGTGAATCATAAAGTAAATATCAGTGTTTTCTGATGGTCTTATGTGACCCCTGTGAAAGGGCCGTACCTCCCCCCCAAGGGGTCTCAAACCATGGGTTGAGAGCCACTGACTTAGAAGCACAAACGTGACCACAGAGACTTCACCAGACATGAAAATGGTCAGTTCTCTAGAGTCATCCACTAAGTGACTACTAACCATCAAGGATGAGCCCAGTGGAATAATAATATATATGAAACTTTAATGTAAATCCATGTTAATAGTTCCTATAAGGACACCTGAACTTTGTGAAAAGTCATGCCTTGTGCAGGGCTGTCTCCCTACTGAGATGGTAAGTGGTCAATAGTAATAAGTGTTCCCACTGCCTTTTCTCAGCTTGTCCTCCTGCCCTCTGGAAGAGATGATTCTCAGTATGGATCATGGTTTCTCCACCTCCCCCTGTCTACCCCAGCCCATCCCAGCACTGTGAGTAGATTGGCACTGGAATGCGGTAGCCCCTCCCCCTGCTCCAGCTAGCCATTTCTAGTCTTTGTTTGGCAAGAAGAAGCACTACCATCTGGAGGATGAAGGAGAGAGCAGATTGTCAGCACACAGCAAGTGTGACTCCGTTTATTTGCTCAGGCCAATTTTGTTACATGAGTAAATTGGAAACTGTAAATTTGAAACAGAGCAATGGAGCTTTTAAATGAAGAAGTTCCTTATAGAAAAAGTAGTGCAGGGCCAGGGTGGTTTCTTGGTGGCTAAAGGTGTCTGCTATACAAACCAGATGCCCTGAGTTCAATTCCCAGAACCCACATAAAGATGCAAGGAAAGAACCAACTCCCCAGAATTGTCCTCTGACCTCCACATGATCCCAAACAAATCAAACATGTACATACATCAATAGTTAATAAAATAAAAACTTTTAAAGAAAAGAAAAACCTGTCTAATTCCATGACTGATAATCTCAATGATACTGAACTAGTAAGTGACAAAGACAGGAATCTAACTCAAGTCAGTATGTTCTCCGTGTTATCTGGGGAGTATTCACAAGCAGACTGGCAGGAGTGGCAATGCATGAGCTTGTGACACAGAGGAACTGGACACTTTTAACCTACAAAGGGGAAGAACCAGGGCCATCATCATTTTGAATGCCCATAGGCCTGATAGACACGAATCGGCTTGAATTTGCTCCCTCATTAGCGGGAGGAAACCAGGAACTCTACGAGTACAATACAGGGAAGTTCTCTTTACAGTTAAATAGAAGAGCAAAGCTCATATAGAAACAGCTAAAATTGGTCAGAACAATTTCCTGAGAAATAGTGAGTTTTCTGCCACTGAGGCATTTGGGGGCAGACTGGAAAATAGTGCAGTATGTCCTGGCTGAACCACAGCAGTGGCACAAAGGCCTGTGAGGGGAGAATTGAGGCATGAAAATCATTTGAATGGGGTGACCTTTAGGACAATGTGATTCTTTACAATCTGGAACCAAATAAGGGTTTCATTCTTGCCTCTGAACTCTAAAACCTATCTTCCTATCTGTTTGCAATAGTTTAAATTTTAATCTATTTCATATTTCAGGGTATTATGCCCTGAATATTTGATTTGAATGCTGTGGCAGAAGGTCACTCATACTCATTTATTTTCTTTTACTCTTATACACCGGCAGTGAGTCTTTTGAATCCATTATGCAAACGCACGCAAATCATATGCAAATGATGTGGCCTCAGAAAATGACAAAATCTTATGGCCTTAACGGAGCCATCAAACCTTTCTTTAAGACAGAAAGTAATATGCCTTTTCAGTGTCTCTGTGGTAAAAGACAATTTCCTGAGAGTGATATTTACATGACATTGGAATTGGTGGTTCACAGCAGAGTACACTTCACATTCTTTATGTTTATGTGGGGCCTTAAGGTTAAGGAAGCATTTTCCTACATATGATCCCATTTGATCCCCATAATTACCCTGTGATGTAAGCAGGGCAGCACTGGCTTTTCAGATGAGAAACTGCTCTCAGAAGTGTGGTGTCGGAGGTCACTCAGTTGACAAGCAGTGGACCTGAGACTTAGAACCAGGCAGCTTCTTTGAAGGAAAGTGGCCTGCCATTACCTTTATTGGCTTAGACCACATTTTGCAAATAGCATCTTCAGAGGTATACTTGTTGATGAGGATGGCATTTTATGGAAATGCCTAGGTACTGGGAGCAGCCCAAATATAGCCCAAGTGAGAAGCTTTTCAGGCCCAACTTCAGTCTCTGCTACTATTGACATGTGAAACCAGGAGGTGGTGATGCATGCCTTTACTCCCAGCATTCTGGAGAGAGACAGAGACAAGTGAATCTCTGTCAGTTCAAGGCCAGCCTGGTCTACAAAGTGAGTTCCAGGACAGCCAGGGCTACATAGAGAAACCCTGTCTCAAAAAACCAAAGAGAAGAAAAAAGGAAAATTGACAGGTGAATTCTCTGCCCTGGCTGTTTTACGAGGCCACTTACTTCCTACCATGGAGAGTAGACATGTATTTCTTCTGTGAGACCACCTGGATCTGAAGTCCAGTTCTACCACGCTCTGGTGGTATAGTCTTGGAGAGGTCATTTAATTTCTCTAAGTCATCAGTTTCTACAACTATAAAATGAGTAAAAAAAAAAAAAGGTTGTAGGATAGAGAAATGCACCTAAACCAAAATAAGACCTGGTCTGCTGGCTAACAAAGGTTTAGTAGGGTAAGTGGTAGCTGCTTTAATCACTTTGTTGGTGGTAGCGACACAGAGCAGTGGTATCTAAGATCATTGTGGATTCTGAGCTAGGAACAGGGTTCTGGGAAGTGGACTGGAAGAACAGAGACACCAATTATCCCCCGTATATCAGTTGGTTAGAGGATGGAAAAAGGCCTGTGGTAGCTAAGTTCACTGGGTAAATGCTTGAACTTTTTCTTTCCCTGCTGCACCCTGACCACCCTAATAATTACCACCCTCTCAAAGGGTTTTCTATATTTCTTTTTATCTCTCCCCCCCCTCACTTAAATAGGGTTTTCTGTAGCCTAGGCTGGCCTCAAATCCTTATAACCTTGAATTGGTCATTCTCTTGCCTATATCTCCCTAATGCTGAAATTATGGACATATATCCATAACTGTTCTATGGGGGCCTGGGAGCTAAATTGGGGGTTCCATACACGCTAAGAAACCATTCTACCAATTGAGGTACATCCGGGTCCTTAGTTCTGCTCCCTCGACCCGGATGCTATGTCTTGTAAAACTTTTTGTTTAACTTGAGCCAGTTGTAAGGGCAGAAAAGGGGCTTCTCCTGAGTTGTTAAAACAGCAGTCCTAAATCACCAGGGTGAGAGAGAACGCAATCTCCTTCCTTCGGAAGATCGGGAGTAGTTCAAGGAGCAGCTGAGATTCAGCTAGCAGGACTGCTGAGCCTGTCACCTCCTGCCCTAGTTCCCAGTTTTGCAGCGCTCCCATCTGCTGGAGCAGAGCTCTCTGCCCCTGCCAGCATGCTCCAGCACTTCCAGTCACCCACAAGGACAGCTAGCAAAGTGGTATCCAGTGGAAATGCCGATTGTGGCATTCCCAGCCCCTCAGAGGAGAGACAACACTGCAGAGTGGGTCAAACCCTTGAAACTGGCTTCAGGCCAATGGGAAGTATCACAGCATCACAGCGAGACTCTAAGGGCTGCACGGCTGGTCCACGCTGGTCAGGAAATGCACTGGGCCATCCTGGGGCAGGGTTCTCAGTTATTTTTGGCCAAGACAGTTCGTATGCAAAAACAACTTCCTTTTTTTTTCTTTTGCAGCACAGATCCATAAATGCTGAGCAGCACTGCCTAAGATCAACCTTCAGAGTGCCTCTCTGCCTGCCAAATTGCCAGGGCTATTAGAGTGTGATTACACTGCTTGGCTCTGAGCATTAGATAATCCCACCCAGCTGGGCTTGCTCTGGACCTGGGATGGCTCCAGCCATCAGCTGCGTCTTTTTAGTGGCCCTTTTTTCAGCCAGCTGTGAAGCCATCGCCTCCACAGATCAGATGTGCATTGAGGTGAGTCCAAACTATTTGTCTTCTACCCAGCTGACACTTGCTGAAATTTTTGGGGTATGGCAGACAGACTCGTCTGAGCCTTGGCTTTAAGTCTTGACTGTCCCAAAGAGGATGGTGGGAGATAGCAACAGGGTTTGGTGCAAAGAGCAGACCCTCTCAATCCTGATGCCTACACCATGAGAGCTGTTTGTGCGCCTTCCCAGAACATGGCCATTTGCCATGCAGTCCTTTGGTTTCTTGGCTGTCATAGTGAAGACTAGTGAAGACATGCCCATACCAGGTTTCAGAACATTTAGAGGATCATTCTGAATGAGTATGGGTTTCCCCTCCAGTCGGGCACCTTTCCTGTCTGTTAGATTAACCCACAGGAGTAAATCTGAGAACCAAGCCAACTCTAACCTTCTGTAGCAATATTTATCAACCAGCGGAAAGTTCTTAACCCACAGGAGTAAATCTGAGAACCAACCTTCTGCTCTGAACTGTAGCAATATTTATCAACCAGTGGAAAGTTGTAGAGAGAACGGGGAGACAGAGAGAGAGAGAGAGAGAGAGAGAGAGAGAGAGAGAGAGAGAGAGAGAGAGAAAGAGAGAGAGGGGGAGGGAGGGAGGGAGGGAGGGAGAGAGAGAGAGAGAGAGAGAGAGAGAGAGAGAGAGAGAGAGAGAGAGAGAGAGAGAGAGAGAGAGAGAGAGAGAGAGAGAGGGAGAGAGAGTGGCCTTGCCATGTTAAAATGATTCAACCTTCCTCCCACTGTCCTTGACTCTGGTAAGTGGCCTCCCATGTGAGCATGCTTGACAAAGGGTGCAGACAGAAAAGGCTGGCTTGGTAAGTTCCTTTCCTATTTTGGAACTGAAGGGGGAATACAAGCCAGGGATATCTAGCGGCAAAATGAACCTGAGACCATAGTTAGAAGTTAGACCAATGATCTAAAACTCAGGGCAAAGACTTGGCAGACAAGGGTATGAATCAAAGTACTTGAATGAAGTCTGGAACAGAAACAAACAGAAGCTTGTTTGCCATGTATATGAATGGACTCTGGCTGTTCACAGACTAAGCAAGGTACACAACAGTCCCCATTTCCATCCAGTGGTTGCTCTTTGACACATATCTGTTTTTGAATAGCCTTGCAACCCATTCCATGAACATCAGATGTCTCTATTTTCTCTTCCCTCTTCTCTCATTTTTCCTTCTAAGCAGCAGAATTCTAAGGCTGTTTAATGCATGAATATAAAGGGAGCATGCTTCTCAGGGTTCCAGACCTCTGTGCCACAGATGAGGGGAGCAAGCAGGACTAGCTTGGGGAAATGTGTGCCTTCGATTTTCACACTTGGTCCTCTCCTACATCCAGACCACTCGGGTTCTACCCATCCTTCTCCTTGCTTTCTTTCCTTTGCCGCCTCACTTCAAGCATAATTAGGCATTGCTGCCTGTCTGTTCCTATGACACACTATCCTGAGTTCATCTTGCCTAGTACAGTAATAAGAGTTTTGTTTAGATTTTGCCTTCCTTTAAGCTTATTAAACTTTTGTTGAAGGAAAACACACATACAGAATTTCACAAAGCCCTACATATTCAGTTAATTGCGTTTTCACCAATAAACACATCCAGGTATTCAACATACAACTCAAGACACTGTAAGTACTCAATACTTCAGAAACCCTCATACCTCCTCCCAGCCATTGGTTCCTTAAAGACATCTCGTCTTATAACTTCTATCATCACAGTTGCTTAATGCCTGTTTTAAAAAAAAAACTGTATATAGTAGAGACCATATGGTAGGAACTCTTTGCCTGGCTCCTTTAGTTTGACATTAAATTGGTGACACTTTCTGATGACATGCACAATAGTCATTTGTTGATTCCTACTATTGAGTGACACTCTGTTGGGTAGAAGACCCCACCATTTATTTATTAGTAGGAAACTGCATCGTTTATAATTTTTGTAAGTTGTGTATGACTCTGGTTTTGGACTTTCTTGATTATGCCTTTCTTTAGCAAGCATATCTACAACCTTGTGTTATATGAGTACCTTAGTAGATTCATTTTCCAATAGGGTGTGTGTGTGTGTGTGTGTGTGTGTGTGTGTGTGTGTGTGTAGTAGACATTACCAGCTTTATAAAACATTGATACTAATTAACAGTCATTGGAAGTGTGTGTGACTTTCCATTGCTCTGGAGTCTTGTTAACATTTGATATTAAATGTGAGCCATCCTGGTGGTTAGGATGTAGTATTTCATTGGGACTCATTTTTTATTTCTCTGATGAATTATTAAATTGACTACATGTTCACGGTTGTTTACATACTTCCTCTCTTCTTACACTGCTGAGAGTCACCCAGTGCCACTCTCACACTAGTTAAGCATTATGACACTGATATACCCCCAGCCCTCTACAACTATGTGTGTGTGTGTGTGTGTGAAATGTTTAAGTCTTTTGCTCATTTTCTCCTTTGTTGTCTTGATTTGATAGCCAATATGATCTTCTACTCTGAGACTTCCCTTTCAACTCTCCTAAAGATATCTTTTGCCAAATGGAAGTTCTTAATATTATTGTAACTTGATTTAAGATTTCTTCCCTTAATTTTCAGTACGTTTCTGTCCAGTTTAAGAAATCTTTGTATACCCCAAAGCTATGATGATATTATCCCACAGTTTCTTCTGGAAGATTTATTGTTTCATATTTCTAAGTCTCACAGTTCAAAAACTGATATATACATATATATGTGTGTACATATATATATATATGCATGTTGGGTAGAAGTCAGAATTAATATTTTAATAAAAATTTTTGCTTAAGAAAAGTTCCAACCTACACCAAATTCTGAGAAAATTATAATAAAAACTCATGAACACTCCACAGAGAATCATCTGTTGCTAAATGCCCCATGTTCTCTGTATGCATGTAACAAAATTACAGCAATGAGGAGGTCTTCAGAGACTAGCAAATATGCAGACAGCTGGAATTCAGTGCTCTATAATTGCTACTGTTACAACATTTTCAATGCACTCTGAAACAGTTCCTCAGGCCTGCAGCCTTACTCCCCCAGCCCCATTTCAAATGGGCTCATCTTGGTCACACCGTTCACTCAAAACCAGGGTAAGACAAAGTCCTTCTTGAAAAGTTTCTGCACCCTAATAAGCCTCTCCAGTGACACAATCCAAATCAGATCAAATCAACCAAACTATAAAGAACCCACATTTAATGGATACAAGACTCCCGGATTGCCAGCCACCCCCTGCCCCCAGGAAGGAGACAGGAGAAACAAGCAAACCAGAGTCTGTTTTTTTGGGGGGGGTCAGTTTAAATACCCTGTGGGTGTGGTCTTGACCATCTTTGGGGGAGGAGTCATCATTTGGTGGGTTTTCTGAGATGCCGCAGGGTTTGGAGAAAAGACAGGGGAGGGGGCTTTGGATGGAACTTCCACCAGAACATGCCAGACACTTTGGGGATATGGATACCATATCACCATAGCACTTCTGTTTCTAGGATTGGAGTGGGCTTCACTTGGCAGTGCCCTCTTTGGAAGAACTTCAAATTCACAGGTGCAGGAGCTTCACAGGAACTTTAGATGATGGGGGATGAGATGGCCCCTTAGATGGGCACTCCTGCTCAGGCTAAGGCCTCTTGCCTGGATATTCTTGGAGCACACCTGCAGGAGCCTCTTGTCCCCAAGCTACAGTTGGAAAGAAGGGGGACCCAGGCAACACAGTTAGTGTGTGAGATTAAACTTGGAGGCAAACAGACTAGTTGTGTAGAACAGGGCTTCTCACCCTTCCTAATGCTTCAATCCTTTAATACATCTCCTCACATTGTAGTGACCCCAACTGTAAATTATTTTCATTGCTACTTCGTAACTGTGATTTTGCTACTGTTATGAACCACAATGTAAATATCTGATATTCAGGATATCTGCCATGTGACCCCTGTCACTCCACCCACCCCACCCCCAAAGGGATCGTGACCCGCAGGTTGAAAGCCACTGCAGTAGAGGAACAGAAAACAAAGCAGGTTTCATTGGACTGTCCTTCACCTGGAGGAGTCAGCTTGACAACACAATGTTAGGGATGTGCCTTCCTGGAAGGTTTCGTTCCATTTGTTGGTTTGTTTTCTGAGAATAATCTTTGCTCTGGAATTTACCTTACCAGTCAAGTTGCTCCTTCCCATCAAGGTGTGATTATAGAGTGTGTGGGGGGTGTCAGTGTTTCCAAATCCTCTGGAGTGCATGTGCCAAGTGTACTGGATGTCTGAAAAGGTGGGAATAAGCATTGGAGTGAATTTCAAAGGCTTCCAAATTAGAAAAATGTCTCAAGGCTTGGAAGAAGAGAAAATACAGAAGGCTGGGAGGCTGTTGAGGTACAACAGAAACAAAATAACATCCTGATTGAAAAACTGCAAAGGAATGCCTGGAGGGAGAGAGGACTGCAAATACAAAGGAGCCCTGCTCTAGGTAAAAGAGGCCCAGCTCTGTGCCAAGCTGAAGACAAAGTGGCTGGCATGGGTCCCAGTGCACTGCGGGTCCTAAACAAATGCTTCTTGACACAGAGCAGGGTGTGTTCAGTTGCATGCATCTTAGTGGTTTTGCAGCAGCCCTGCTGGCACAGACATTCACATTAAGAAGGATGGGCCCTGTCTGCAGTGCAGTCAGCCAAAGCAGAAGAGTGAAAAAAGCAACTTGGGAAACTGTCCATCTCAGAAAGAATAATCACGTGGGGCTCAGGGAGCTGTGACATGGTGGATGTCTGCCTAGGAGGAAACCCAAAGCACGTGGTCCTGGTAGTGGTGGAGCTGTCTGTTGCTCCCCGCATCCTCTGAAAGATGCTCATTCCTATGTCCTATGACCCCATTCTGTGCTGCTAGAATTCACCCAAAGCTTTGACCCTAGTCATGGTGGTGAGAAAGACACAAGTTCACTGTTGTAGGGCTTCTACCAAGACGCAGCTTCTACCTGAACCCACGGCCGGGAAACACATAGAGTCTATACCATAAAGGATGTGCTGGCACGC